CTTTCTTTCTTTCTTTCTTTCTTTCTTTCTTTCTTTCTTTCTTTTTTCTTTCTTTTTCTTGACATAGGCGAACATGTTTTTCATCCCTTGCATAAGAAGCACATCATGACTGCACTTGATGTCCATCCCTTGTGTGCTAGCATTGTTCTGCAAGGACAACTGGGCCTTGTGCCTTAATCCCAGATATATTCACTCACTGTTTATTGGAGCAGCTCTCCCTGAAGTTATGGCAATGATGGAAAGGTTTTCCCGTCCCTCCTCAACTTGCAAAACAAAAAAATCCCCTCTCACATGATCAGATGAAAAGGAAAATATTTCCCTTTTGCTTGCACTGTGTTTCTTTAAAAGAACTGTTCCTTTTTTTTAAAGGCATTTTTTTACTCACTATGAGTTGGCAGACCCAAGACTGAACTTTGTGGGGATTTCATAAGCCTGCTCCTTTGTGGCCCATCACATGATAACAAAATTGTTTATTCAGGGGGAGTTTTCCCCCCTGCACACCACCCAGACAATGGCACATCTGTCCTTTGCAAACAGCAGCCTTCATTCAAAATGTGCACAAAAGCTGCCATTCTCTTTCCTGAAACTTTGTGGTTCAGGGTGGAAACGTATCAATGAGCATGTGTCGTGCGTTGGAACAGGCGTGCGGCTTTCTCCTTCTCGAATGCTTGAGATTCTTCTCCTAACTTTAGGAATACTAATATCTTCCCAAAGGACGTGAGAATTGTGGAGGCTGAAGTCTGCCTGATAATTGTCTATCCTACGTCATCTAAGAAGCTCAGTAATAGCGTGTTATGGTATAAGTAAGAAAATAATAGTTATAATCATTATGTAGTCAAAAGAGATTATACTGTATGATGGGAATTGATATAGCCAATATATATCGATGTTGTACAATTGGAACTGTGATTAATACTAAGGAGAAAAGCACAATAAAAAATTTTTTTTTTAAAAAAAAAGAAATATCTGGATTTATTCAAGGGATGTCCAACCTGTCAACGTTAAAACTTACGGACTTCAACTCCCAGAATTCTCCAGCCAGGGAATTGAAGCCCACAAGTCTCTGGAAGTTGAAGTCCACAAGTCTTAAAGTTGCCAAGGCTGGACACCCCTGGTTTATACCAAATGATAGCCTTTCATTTAATTTGGTCTTTTTTTTCCCCTTGACCAGCCTCCGCCCACTATCCATGTCCGTACAAAATCATGACCCATCCTTTCAAAATCAAGCCACGTGATTTGTGCTTGCGTGAGCCTGAACATTAAAAGAGTGTGTTTGCATCCAGTGCCACTTAGGTGCCAGGGAGGGCACGGACATTGGATCTGGTCAGTAGCAGCTGAGAATGCAGCCCTCCAAACCCCACAGCCCCCACAGAGAGGTCAATGCCGCTGCAGAGCTCCAAGTTCTCTCTCCGTGTATATGTGTTTATGTGTGCCTAAGTGTCTTTGAAATTGTGCTTTGAGAGGCATGCCAAATGGCCAGGAAGATCGTAGTAAGTCTGAAATGCAAAATCTTCCTGGGGACTTTTTTTTTTTAAAGACACCTTTATCCAGGTTCATGCATCACACAGAGCAGTAGTAAGTTTTATTTAGTCAGAGCAACGTAAATTCAGTTTTAATGCCTTGGAAACGTACCTTATGGCTTCGTGCGAGTCTTTTCAAACTTTATAGCGCCGCGACTCTCTAAAACAGGGATGTCGAACCTTGCAAATTCCATGACTTGTGGACTTTCAACTCCCAGGAATGCCCAACCAGCTTTCCTGGGGAATTCTGGGAGTTGAAGTCCACAAGTCTTAAAACATTGCAGGGTTGGACACTCCCGATTTAAGAAGTCACCAAGAATTGAGACCCAATTTTAAACATCCACATATGAATATTTTCCATTTTTTGACTGCCAAAAAAAGGTTTTAATAATAAGAGACCAAAAATGTGTATTTTCAGTGGGAACCAAACTGGAAGACTCTGAGGCGGCCAGTCCAAATCTCTTGAAAACTCTAATGGTGGATAGGTCAAAGACACCTGAGATCAAAGCAAAGATTAATAAGGACCAGCTTAGCAGTTCCAAGCTTGCAGAGAATTCATCCCAGGTAAGATGCATCAGCCTCTTTGAATTATAGTCGTATTCTTCAGAATTATGGGTTCAGGGTCCCAAATCATCTGCTTGCTGGTGTAGGGCATATGGGAAGTGACCTTGACCTAAATATGCAAGAACTATTTTATTTATTTGTATCCCACCTTTATTATTTTTATAAATACCCAAGACAATGAACGGATCCAACACACCTTCCTCCTCCTCCTATTTTTTTTCCCCACCACCACAACCCTGTGAAGTGGGTTGGGATGAGAGTGAAATGCCCAAAGTTATCCAGTTGGCTTTCATGGCTAAAGCGAGACTAGAACTCACCATCTCCTGGTGATTGGTCTAAAGTCACCCAGCAGGCTTTCAGGTCTAAGGTAGGACTAGAACTCACCATCTCCTAGCCTGGTTCCTTCACCAAACTGGCTCTCATTTCAATACAGTATCAATAGATATAAGCCATATAAACTGAAGTAGTGCATTTTTAAGAATGCAAAGGGGTCCTGAGATAAAAAATATTTTGAGAACCGCTGCTGTCTGGTAGCTACACAGGGAAAACATGTCATCCTTGCCAACCATTTCAACATCACCCAAATTGTGTCACAAAACGAGTGTGTGCAGTCTGTTTGCAAGCATCTGATGTGCTCGCCAAGAATATGTTCCTTTAAATTAACGACAAACTTATTATGAAAAACACCCTAGGAGCTTTAGGCCGACCAATATGCAAAGTACTTTTCTCCCTCCCCCTTAATTCTAGAAGCATTAGCAGCTGAAAGGATAAAGTAAAAATAAAAAAAAGAATCTCTTGGGACCAAATTCAGCCGACTGCAGCTGTGCTCATTGAACTGTACCCACCGCACAAAGATTGACACACAAAAGCTTTTAACCAAAACAAAAACAAATAATGACCAGGCCATTGTAAGTAAATAGTAATTCTTTATTTTTTTTATTTTCTTCATTAAGAACAGCATTTTTGAAAATAAAATGTATCTTTCTTGCCCAGGGTTTACAACTCTCCTTTTTGTTTAGTTTAAATTTCATATCTCTTTATGTACAAGTCCATATGATACACAATTGATTGTCTCAAAAACCTTTCCAAAGATGTAGAATATGAAATGGTACGCAACGGTCAACAGGACAGGGAAGGAGAGAACGTTATTTTAAAAAAGCACATTAATACATTTAATAAATATTTACATATATTATCAAAAGAAGAAGAGAGCACTTGTCTTTTTAATAAAAAGCACCGGTTGGGTTATCTGATAGGGATAGAAGAGTAGTCAGATTATAATATATATATGTATTTTTTTTCTCAAATCTCCTAATCAAGGCTACAATTGCTTCTGATTCTGCTGCTTTGAGGTTAAAACGGAAGCTTCGAGCAGTAAATTAGCCAAAGCAATGTTCCCAAAAAGCAGATCTCAGTTAATATTGGAAAACATCTTGCTTAATTTAGGATTCGGACATGGAAATCCAGGCCTTCTCAAACATCGGCCACGATGGTGGAACTCTCTTTCCTAAACTTGGATGCCCTTCAGAGGCATGGACTCTAACTCCCAGAATTCCCCACCAGGGTGGCCAATGTTCCTGAGGATTCTGGGGGTCCAAGACTCCTGATTTTGCACCAAACTTGAGAAGGTTGAGCATGAACTCATTACCCAGCTGATCCCCACAGAACGAAAGCTTAATGGAAATTGACAGTCGATGAATGTAAATGGAGGTATATCTTAGGGCCAATGACGTCAAGCCAGAAACCTCCTGATTGGCCAGCCCTGCTTTCTATATATATATTTCATGCGTGGTCCTCCAAGCTATTCAGCTGTGGAAAAGGGGTGCAGCTGACAGGAAGTTAAGACCACTGGACATGCACCAAGATTAGTAGAATGAAAGCATGCTTAATGTTTTATTAGGCCCCAGCACTGTGACAAGTCACTGGAAAGATTGCTATCGGCTTTGAGAAGGTGCAGTTTGCAAGCAGCCGGAGTCAGCCCGAGAATTGGAAGAGAAGGAGGAAGGCACGAGGTGGGGCTCCCATTTTATGCAGACAAGCTTTCTTCATGCTTTCTCCGTGGGGAGAATGGCCTTCCCTCAAGTTTACAGAACATTACCCAACTCTCTCCTTCCTTCAACCCTTTGCTGGGTGGCATTTGCTATTTGATGCCGGAGCTCCGGAATCTGGGCTGCAAGGATCAAGACCTCCTCTAGATGGCTGCAAAGAGCTCAGAAAACTCTACCTCTCTGCTGCCATCTGGCGGTCAGTTGGATGTTTTCAGCCCAATTCTGGAAGTCCAGGGAAAATCCACCCACCTTTCTGCCAAACAATACAGCATGGAACTTAAGCAACCTTGTTCGGACTGCATCTGACGTTCAAATTGTACCTTCCCAATTTGCCGGGGTTGGTGGTGGAAATTTGATCCAGCTCATTTCCCCAATTGCTGTATAAATTGCCTTCTAGCCTGCTTTTCTACGTTGGGGAATTCGGTGTATTTTTCTAGTTACATTAATCGGCAGTCACAAAGCACAGAATAATATTGATGCTTCCTAGTTTCTCTTCCCGTGTGTTAAGTGCCTCCCCAGATGCTCTACATTTTGAACAAAAGCAAACACCATACAACTTTTTGTAACTTTTAACACAAAGAGATACAACGCAACTCAAGGGTGTCTTTTAAACGGTTTGTAACAAGAGGTGTTTTGGGGGGAGAGTTGTAGCAGCAGCAGCAAACATCAGAAATCACAGAATAATAATAATGATAATAATAATGATAATAGTGATAGTTCGAGAAAATAATAATCCCTTCTTATAGTTTTATTGGCACGCCTCCCACCACTAGGAGGCATGGCCCAGGTTCACAGGAGAGGTTAGAAGGAGTCCAACCCTGTCTTTTAAGCTCCCAAACTGCCATTGATTTAACGGGAAGGAGGACCGCTAAATCCTTCCTTGTCTAAAAGAAAAAATAAAATAAACACAAATTGGACAGTCTCAGAACCGTCTAAAAGTGGTCTTTTCCTCCAGTTAAAAACAGCACAATTCCATCTCTTTCCTCTTGTTCACATTCAACTGGGAAAAGTAATTAATTCCAACTGTTTACCCCAGGTTCATCATGTGCATTTTGGTAATAAAAATAGTTTCAAAACCCCATTTTCACACGTATCAAATCTCTGTCCTGCATAGACCCACAGTAATGTTATATATAATGAATGCCCCTCTTATTAAAAAATATTGCTTTGTATTTTAAACAGAGGTTAAAGAGAACATCCAGTTTCCCCACAATCTTACAAAATGAAATCAGGTTTACATCAAATTAAATTTTGCAAATTCCTGGAACGCAACAATGCAGGTTTTTCCTCTTGTACGTAAGCCTGCGTGGGCCACAAAAATTATTGCTGTTTTTTAACTTGGCAAATTTTTAAAAAGACTAAACTTGCTAAAATGATCGTGGCAACAAGAGCAATTTAGAATTCATAGAACAAAGAAAAGTGTGTGTGTTGCACATACTGGCTGGTTTTACACCCGTTACCCTCCTAAATAAGCCAGGTGATGCCAACGGTTGTGCCTTGCAAAACGCACCAACGTGGCGTCTACCGTCACATTTATTTCAAGGTTTTTTTCACACTCTGCTTTTTTTCCACACTAAACAAGGATATTCAGAGCTGACTAGAGCGGATACATAAATGAATAACAGTGTTTTATTAGCCCTTCCTTCCGCCAAACAACAACAAGACTCAAATAAATCATAAACAAAGAAAGCAGTTCTTAACAGGGAGAAAAGAAAAAGGAACAATGTTAGCAAAACATTAAAGTGCACCAAATTTGATGGGGCAAGGAGTTTATATTCCCTATTCCCTATACCTCAGTCCGAATAAAGATTGCCTTTAGAACCACTTACAGGTAAAATGGACTCTTTACTAGTGCTACAGCAAATATCTTAAGATTTTTTCAGAATAATACTCGGTTCAGGGTATTAGATAATGGCATGTCCTCACATCATACTACTACTACGATTATTATTATTATTATTATTATTATTATTATTATTATTATTGCTAATATTTATATGTAGAAAATTAGCACGCCAGAGGGAGATTCATTCAAAATCTTTCCTGAGAAGACAGAATGTATCTTTTGAAAATGGACAGTTCTGAGTGCAAGAAACTGACATATAATATAAAATAGCATTTGGACAGTTTACCTCCTTATTCCCTACAGATATATTTATTACCGAGACAGTGAGGTTGGGTGTATTAACCAGTAGGATGAAACAGATAGAATTAGTTAAATTAAAAACCAGGGACATGAAAAGGAAAAATTAAAAAAAAGATTCCTCAAAAACCAATTGATTACATTTCATTTTTTTTCTTTCTAAGAACCAGCGAGCAGCTTTGCAAATCTGAAGGATTCGGCGATCTTATTTCTGCTGCCCCTGTCAATAGCCCATTTACAAAGCGAATCGCTTTAGAATAAGTGCAAAAAAATAAAATGAATTCTATCCTTTGAGATATTTCATACCGTCCTGCTTTTATTGATCGCTCCCTCTCTCTCCCTCCCTCCCTCCTTCCTTCCCTCCCTCCTTCCCTCCCTCCTCCCTCTCTCTCTCTCTCACACATACACACAAATGCTCACGCGCGCACGCACACACACACCTCTCAACCAAACAACAGGACTTGCTTTTTTTAGTCTCTAGGAAAGCAGAAAGCAGGTGCTAGCTAGCCAGCCGAATGTAAAAATGGCAGATATACATGCTTTAAAATGCTCACCCACGAAAGGAATGCTTCACCAAACATCACTGAAATCATAGCAATGTGAAAAGGCAGAAAGAATTAGGGTGTTGTGTGACAAAGGAGCGGGGGGGGGGAGAGGAGAGGAAGATATTCTCAACGTCCGTGTGAAAACGATCGAAGGATAATAATAATAATAATAATAATAATAATAGTAATAATAATAATAGTAACAGCCATAATAACCCAACGTTCCAGATACACACGAGAAAAGGCAATCAATGTGCAAAACAAGGTTGCAGTCCATGAGGCTTCAGTGTTCAACTAGGATGGGGAATGAAGAGTGGGGGCGGTTTAAGGTCGCCCCTGTGGAGAGGATTTCCTGGCCCGAGAAGGACCTCAGGTTTGAATTCGTGATGAGGACAATACATTTGGTGATCCACCATCTTCCTTTTTGGGGGGAAAACTCTTGGGAAGCCTGGAGGGATCGTTCCCATGGGTCTTTCTCCTGAGCTACCTGTCTGGCACCTGAAGTTTTTCCCCTTCTGGAGATACAATTGGTGAGACTTTGCCCCCCTGTGACCTTGGTCATCCGGGCAGACGGTTTCCTTGGTCCTACCAAACGCATCCTAATGGCCAACTGCTCTGTATTGCTTCTTGGGAGAAGAGGAGCTGGGTGAAAGCTCGTAGGGTTTCAAGAAGAGCAGAGCCACCTGCAAAGACACCGCTGACTTTGGGTCACTGTTGACACCTGATCTGGGTTACCCACAAACACACACACACACACCAGCACCTTGGGCGTGAAGAGGGTAGCACACCCTGTCCCATCGCTCGAGGTTCCCTACTGCAGCTCCACAGCTTACTCTAATTCGGCGTTTCTCAAAGTTGGCCCCTTTAAGGCAGGGTGGACTCCGACTCCCAGAATTCCTCAGCCCACCTGAAGCCCACCCGTCTTAAAGGGGCCAAGCTTGAGAAACCTTGCTCTAAACCAGGGGTCTCCAAAGTTTTAAGACGGGTGAGCTTCAGTTCCCAGAATTCCTCAGCCAGCGTTCTGAAAGTTGAAATCCACCAGTCTTAAAAGTTGCTGGATTTGGAGACCCCCCGCTGCTCTAAATGCCCCCACCCCCCATGAATGCTGTTCAGAGAGTAGCAAAGAAGCCAAAAGGCCTCCTTTTGTGTGGACAACCACACACAAAGCACAATTGCATGAATTAAAGACCTTTGCCCCTTCCAAAGCCTTCCCACTTCCTCAAACCAAACACTTTCTCTTGGATCCTGGATCCCTTTATATATATATATATATATGAAATGTTGCTTAGGTCTAACTTTATAAATTCAGTCAGCTTCTATCGCCTTGCGGAGGTCCCTGATAGTTAGCTTATCGATTTGACAGTGCTCATATTTATTTTTTGTTTCGTTTATTCGTTTTATTACAAAAAAAAAAAAGGAGAAAAGAACTCCGAGCTATCGGTTTCTAGGACCTTCCACACACACCCACACACACACACACCGATGGATTTCCTCCCTCTGAAAAACACACACTTTTGGGGGTGGGGGGGATTGGGGGGGAAATCAATTTTTGTTAATGGATTCTGTCTCTCTCTCTCTCTCTCTTCCTCTATGACCTCTAAGCTTTTCACCATAGGTGTCTTCCAGTGTAACTTGGTGGCGCAGTTGGAATCTGGAAATAAGGACAATACATCCACGATTAAGCATTTTGGAGCGTTGAGAAAATCCCTCCTTTAAACTCAGTCCCATTACACAGCTCTGCTTTGCACAGGTAGCCCTTGACTTATGGCCACGCAATTTGAGCCCAACATTTTCCATTGCTAAGCAAGACGGCTGGGAAGTGAAACTTTGCCCTATTTTACGACCTTCCTTGCCACCGTCGTTAAACGAATCATCGCGGTGCTTAAGTTAGCCAGGGAAATCTGGCTTCCCCGTTGACTTTGCTTGTCAGAAGGTTGCAAAAATGGGACACGCTGCGACCGTCATAAATAGGAGTCGGTTGCCAAGCCTCCGAATTTTGAACACGGAGATACTGGCAACGGTCATGAGAAAAAAAACAATCAGAAATCACTTTTTTTTTCAGTGCTGTTGTAACTTTGCAACCGTCACTAAAAACGAACCCGTTGTAAGTCAAGGACTGCCTGTGCTCTTTCTTTTCCTCTTTTTCTTCCATTCATAATGAAAACAAATCCTCGGGTTTCTCTATTCGCTTGCTTGGTTCTACCGCCTTGAATTCATCAGAGATTTTTAACTCCTGAACCCTACTAAGGACGAGATATTCTTTCCATGAGTTGAGCAACACATAAGAGCCCCCTTTGCTCTGTTTTTAACTTCCCACCTGCCCCAAAATATCCTCATTGGGGTTTGGCTAAACTTCAGGGGTCACCAAACTTGGCAACTTTTAAGACTTGTGGACTTCTACTCCCGGCATTGAAGTCCACAAGTCTTAAAGTTGCCAAGTTTGGAGACCTCTGGGCTAAAGAGTTGCAGGTGGGCTTCTGAGTTTCAGAAAGCCAACTGCTGCAGATAAAACCTGCCAAACAGGTGGGAGATGAGGATGGTTCACAATTCAAAACACTTCAAGCGTGGAGTGACATGTCAGATAGCCCTCTGCTGCTGGCTGAACTGAGGCTCATATTCTTCCTGCTGATATGGGTCTGGAGGAGATGAACAGTATGGTGTTGTTTTTTTTTCAACACCCGCCTCTCACCATCCCTGGTCCCCACCCCACCCCTCCAAAACAGGATGCAAAGGGGGAAAAAAAATGCAACATTGCCTGATGGAGTCAGCAGCCGACTTAAAAGGACGCGAACCTTAAGCTCTTATGGAGCAGAAGCCAAATGAGTGGCATTTTGAAGCAGGCCACAGTAGCAGAACTATGATCATGGCAATTAAGCAGCTGGGGTGGAGTGGGGGAGGGGGGGGGGAGGGAGAGAGCATCGCCGGTGGGCCAACAGAAGTGGAGGGAAATAAAGTGCGGATAGGATCAAGCGGTTGGGCAGCTCCTTGGTCAACACAGACCCTAGGCAACCCAAAGGAGATAATAAGGAATCTTGAAGGAATCTTTCGAAGCCATCATCTGGGACCTTGGCTGCTGTGGGTAGGAACTCTATGAGAAGGGCCCTTTTTTTTGCAAAGCCACAAAAATTTAAAGGAAGGACACCACCAATGGATGGTAGTTCATCTATAAAGAAAACAAAAAACGAGGCGGTGATTGGTTGGGAAAAGGAGCCATGGTTAATGCTCAATGGACAAAGAAGTGGGTGAGCTTTCCTAGAGACGTCATCTCTGGTTTCTCAGACCAGAAGAACATTTGTGACCCTTCCGATATTTTTTTTTTCCACTGGAGGAAATGGACAGAATAAAATCATTCTTCCCTTCTCACGGAAAGAAAGGAAGAAGAGGTGGCGTGGTTGTGTTAGTGCCCAGAGAACAATCTGAGCAAAGAAAAAAGACTTGACTGGCTCAACGGAATTTGGAATTCAGCCCTGCCTGCATCTTTGGGTGGGTTGAAGCTTCCTGCGTCCCATTCTCACCCCGCCCGCTCCCCCGTCATTCTCCCCTGCTCCCCAATATCAGCAAGCATCCAACCGAAGGAAGTTCTGAGTTGAAAGCAGCGGTTGAGCCTTTTCCCCCTAAGGGGTAGCTTCTTCTACGCGTCTCATTTTGATACTTACAGTCCCACCGTTCAAGACAACCGCCATCTCGGTGGGTTGGTAGACGTTGCTTCGGAAGGGAGCGCTTGCACGGCTCCCCAAGCTGCCGTTGCGGAATCCTGCCGTCCGTAACGCTGCGCGATGTTGAGAAAGAGGCGGGGAAAGAAGACAGAAAGAGGGAGAAGTGACTTTGGGGTGGAAAACCAAAAATAGAAAAGTTGGGAGTTCCGCATAGATGGCTTTAAGGTGGGGGAGAAGATCTACAGGTAGGATTTTTAATTCCAGGCAGGACCTGGGACAGCTCCAACTTACTGTAGTTTTCCACCCGTAGGAGAAGGAATGGCAGAGCCTGGCGGGGTGGAGTTAAATAAGGGATTAGCCTAGAATCCTTACGTAGCCACAAGTGAGCTAAGTCCAATTCTCCTTTAATCCTGTTGACTCTTATCTAATAATTCCAAGCAGGTGCTTGGGTAGTTGAGAATATGCCTGTACATAAGCATGAGAAGCTATAAATCAGATTAATTGGACCTTCACAGGTGGATTTGATCTTTCACACCTGGCATCACTTCACCTCAAAGTGAAGCCTTACACACATGCCATAAGCTGAAATATTTATTCGACAACAGAGAAATCTAAACCCAAAAGGGGAAGAAATATATATAAGGGCCATATACTGTATCTGCCAGTGTAAAAGAAATACTCCCTCCACAATAAATATAAACAATCTACTTAATGTTTTAACAAATAAAGTTTAGTTTTTAAACTAAAGGAATGCGGGGTTTTGCAAATCGTATCAAGATCTTTTTTGGGGTGTAAGAGAATTTATTTCAGGTCATCATTAAATATTTAATATTTCTGTCCAACCAACAATGGGAGACAGCTGAAAATGTACCTAACATTAGAAACCCAAACTGTAAAGAAGTCCAAAAGATAACCTGCTTGACAATGATATAGAGAATTATGGGTGGCATAGGACAAGCAAAGATTTTCGAGATTACTGATAGTACTTGATTTACAACCATTTACTTAGTAACTGAAATTATAACAGTGCTGAAAAAAAGTGATTTATCTACTGATTTATTGCTGAATATAGCCAGTAACAGTCAGCCCTAAATTGATGCTAGATAAGAATTAACAGCATTCAAGAGAGTTGTGGGAATGTAATGACTCTAGGTCGATTACTCTCTTGACTCCACCTCCAGGCTCTGTCTATCCTTCTCCTACCCAACTTAATTATTCCTATGAGTTAAGCATCATTAGATTGGGACATCTCACTGAAGCATTGTCCTCAGTGCTGTCTTTAGAGTGAAGACCACAGTGTCGAACTTATCTTATTCCTGGATTCATTTATGAATTATGACTATTCCAGATGGCTTGCTTTGCCTGGACATGTGTGCTCAATGCGGCAGTAAGGTTGAAAAAGAAAAGGAATTTATCAAAATACCAGTTCTGTAATTTTCTTCATCGATATATGAAGGTGCATGATTTTTAAAAATGCCAAAGAAACACCAAATGATAGATTTGTTCCACCATATAGAAGCCTTCTATTCCCCTGGGGAAAATGTCAGGATATTGTAAATCAATGGCATATTGCTTTATTGAACTAAGATCAAGCCAACTTGCTACAATGCGCTCTTGAGTGTGCAAAGATAATTGATTCAGCTGGCAGAAAAGGAAACACACATTCGGGCGGTTTTCAGCAATAAATCTTTTAGACTCAAGTCTCACAGCTTGTCAATTTCTGCCACCTTCCTCAATAAAGAAAAGGAAGGAAAAGGGGAAAAGAGAGACCGCTCTTCAAAAGCAGTCAAATGGCTGTTAAATCATCTCAGTGCCAGTGAACAGAGATTAGTCTGAAAGAAAATCCCCTGGATCCGTTCCCGACCAGATGTTGCTGAATTATAATTCCTATAATTCCACTAACGGGGCCAGAATTGAGGGATGCTGGGAACTGTAGTTCAGCAGCATAGGGAGGGCCTTGTTCTCCTCAACATCTGCTATTAAGGATTCCAGCAGAATTTCAGGCACTCGGTGCCAAACAGGAATGACGCATGGCGTCTAACTCAAGGTGAAAACTGGACAGGAAATTGCAATTCATCACAAAGAGGCCTGGGAACAAAATGCAATCTTCAATCTCGTAGCTATGCGGATCAGGAGATACTTAGCGAAACTATATTCTAGATCCCAGAAGAGAAAGCATACTTATGCTGTTATGACACCATCGACTGCTAGGTGGGCAGGAACAGGATCTCAGTCCGTTGTGCGGCACTGGGGTCTCGAACCCAGCCTGTCGGCTTTCCAGATGATAAGCTCAGCATCTTTAACCATTGAGCCAACGTGCTTCTCTAGTCAATTAATACTGTAGTAAGCACTAACTTGATGCTAGATAAGAAGTCGGCAGAATTCAAGCGGGTTTGGCCTTAAACCATTTATGAGAACGTAATGATTCTAGGCTAATTCTTCTATTAACTCCACACACACACACACAGGATATGCTTTTCTCACTTCTACAAGCAGTTCCTGTTTCAGTCCATCCCCCAGTTCCTGTTTGAGTTATTGCTACTACTACATTGCTACCACTCTATAAAGCCTTAGTAAGGCCACACCTAGAGTACTGCATCCAGTTTTGGTCACCACTCAATAAAAAAGATGTTGAGACTCTAGAAAAAGTGCAGAGAAGAGCAACCAGGATGATTAAGGGACTGGAGGCTAAAATATATGAAGAACGGTTGCAGGAACTGGGCCTGGCTAGTCTAGTGAAGATAAGGACCAGGGGAGACAGGATAGCAGTCTTCCAATATTTGAGGGGCTGCCACAGAAAGGAGGAAGGAGTCAAGCTATTCTCCAAAGCACCTGAAGGCCAGACAAGGAATAATGGATGGAAACTGAACAAGGAGAGATTCAACCTGGAAATAAGGAGAAACTTTCTGATAGTGAGAAAAATCAACCAATGGAACAGAAGTTCCCCTTGGAAGTTGTGGGAGCTTCATCCCTGGAGGCTTTGAAGAAGAGCTTGGACTTTAAAATACTCCACTCTCAAATTTTTATTTGGTCAATCTTTCCACGTCATTACGACTCACGGCAAGCACCTTCAGCCCCATCCTAAACCAATAGACGCTCACCTGCATTATGTTCATCCATTGAAAAAGCTTTATTCTCCATGTAACTCCGAGGAAGCTGGAGCTCATCCTCGAAAGCAGTCTCACGCATCCGCGGTTGCGAGGTGTCGAAGTAGTTGGGCGTGTTCTCTTGCTCAGATGGAATGATGGCACAGTGAACCTCTGGGATGGCATAGAAGATTAGGAAGACCCAGCCGTTGGCTACCAGAGCCACTGCAAGGGTGGGATCCTGCCATTGATCTCTCCTCCCCAGTTCCTTGTTACCGTACAGGTACATAGTCAGCCAAGCCACCCAAATGAGGATTGAGAAGAAACTGGTGATGATGAGGCACACCCCGTTCTTCTTCCACTTCTTAAATTTCCCACACAAGGTGAAGAAGGAGAAACACAGGGTGACCACCATCAAGAACATCACGTAAATGGAGGCCATGGCAAAATCCATGGGCTCGTAGTGGCAGGCCAGCTTTCCTTCCCTCACAATCGTCAGTATCAGCCACTCTGTGGCAATGATGACCTGGACCAACGCGATGCAGATAGCGATTCCGGCCAGCTGCCATCCCGATGGACTTTTGCCGTGGCGGACCAGCCTCCAGAGCCGCCAGGCTTGAGCGAGCAAGCAGGAGAAGCAGACGGCGAAGAGGACTCCCCAGGAGAACCTGCGGACGCAGCAGACGGTCTCATCCTCTTCGATGATGTACGCAAAGGCCAAGCCAAAGAGAGCCAAGGTCCCTAAAAAGAAGAGGAAATGGAGGCCCAGCGGGCTCCTCTTCTCCTTGCCTTTGATGAAGGGCAGCCTGACCAGCAAGATCAACTTGAGGAGCAGCGTGGTCAAGACCCCTGCCCCTGCCACAGCCTCAATCACGATTCCCCAGATAGCATCCAGATCACACAGGGCAACATGTTGAGGAAGAAGGTCCAGTCCACATCCTCGTGGAGTACTGGAGTTTTCAGAGGAGCCATAGTCAACCACAAAGAGCAGGAGAAGGCCAACCGTAAGGGAAGTGGACATTTTTCTACCTGGAAACAAAAGGAAAAAGAGAATAAGATGATAATTTGCCTGCTACTTCCTACTTCTAGGCAATTCCCCCCCCCCCTGCACAGAGAAGATGGTGCTAGAACTGCCAGAAGCCCAAGCCAGCATGGCTACTACATCGGCTGAAATCTCCAGGAGATTAAACGCAGCGTACGGAGAACAAGAGCACCCAACCTTGGCCACTTGAAGACTTGTGGTCTTCAACTCCCCAAATTCCCCAGCCAGCCATGGGGAATTCTGGGAGTTGAGGTCCACAGGTCTTAAAGTTGCCCACGTTGGACACCCTTTGATGTAGAAGATCCCATGTAGACACTCTTTGTCCTCCATAACATCTGGGTTACCTGATCACGGCCTATCAACAAACTGGAAATTGAGGCCCTCCCTCCAAACCATCAGCAATTTGTGCGAATTTTACATTCCTACATTTTCCAGGGAGAGCCAATTTGGCGCCTGCCGATTAAAAGCGCTACATTAGATATCAGGAGACTGGGAATTCTAGTCCTGCCTTAGGTGCAAAAACCAGGTGGGCTAATCACTCATTCTCAAACCCAGGGAGAAGATACTAGCAATCCACTTCTGAAAAACGTTGCCGAGAAAAATATGTCACAGAAGGTGACTGGATGACGCTCAGTCACCCAGGTAAAGTTATCTGAAGGTTGAGTTGTGGCAACTGGACTTATTCGTGAGTCCAGTTAAAAGTAATAAATAATTATAATTTACTTACTTGTTTGTTTGTTTGTTTCTGAGCAGTGAAATGTCTCAAACTAACAACAAGAAGTCCAATTGCCATGAGTCAACCCTTCATATTGCCAAGGGCTGCAATCTGCAGGGACTTGTTGCTGGGGTGACCAAGACTTTGGGTTGACTTTCTGGACCGTAACTAACAGCCACGATAAGAGTTTTCATCATCTACGCTTCAGCTACTCAAAGAGTTGAAGGCTTTGGATGAACACTGCAGTGCTACTGCAAAATATTTGTTTAAAAAAGGGGGGCGGGGAAAGAATGCTACTCTGACTCCAGAACCAAAACCTTTGCTGCAGTTCTGATAATTTCACACACACACACACACACACTTCCCTGGAGGATATCGCAACGAGTGGGAATTCTGCCCAGTTCCTTCCCAGATACTTTGAAAAGAATCAGCTTCGAGGCAGATCGCAGAGCACAATGAAAGCCAAGTGATGAGCAGCCTGCTAAAAAAAAGTGACTCCTGAACTTGTAATTGATGAGGGCATTGTGCTTACACACACACATACACACACATATATATATAAAATAATGCCTTCACTGCTTCTTCTCCTTCTGCATCATAATGCTGCAGGCTGTCAGCCCTGCACCTTTGCTGCCGGATGACCCAATGCAGAGAAACAGTAGCAGGGATGAAAAATGCCATCAGGGTATTTTTAGAAGACCTAAGTCCAACTGGAATCCAAGTGGGACGTGGAGTTCGGCCATCAATCCCCTTCCCCAAATATAGCAGGCCTACTATCACGTGTTCAAGGGCTTCCTTTGGAGCTCCTGAGAATAACAAAACTATCTCGGCACACACACCCCTCTGTGAATCAAACTGGAACATTCCAAAGATTGTGTAAGAATCAAGAGGCCACCTGCATTTCGTGGGTTGCCAAACAGTAGCAGTTTAATTTTCTGCTCTGGAATAAAACCAGATTTTAAGGAGTAGAGAGAGACCCAGAGTTTGGAGCGATGTAAATTGCTTGCTCAGGGTTGGTCTCCATCAGAGAGGGAAGCTACTCCACTTATGGATGGTGGACACTAGTTGGAAAACCATAGCTAGTAGAGAGTTGGTCTTCCATCAGAGACAGAAGGCATCCTACTTGTGGTTGACATTGGTTGGAAATCCATGGATTTCAGGGTTGGTCTCTCTCAAAGAGGGAAGGCACCACTTATTTGCTTAGAAAATGCATATGGGCATCTATTTCACATATCAACTCTGGGCAGCTAACAACAATCCACCAAAACAATGTAATAATAAAACCTCCATCAATGAACCAGAAGCAGAATTAAAATAATCAATAAACACAATAACCAGGACACCATATCTAACCTTCTAACCAAACGTAAACTCAACTAATGCCCTGCTCCACCATCTAGGAGGAGAGCCATGGCTTCGTGACTTTCTGAATGCCAAGGTCCTGTGATGACCCAGGGCATGGCACAAAGGCAACACAGTCAGATAATCATTAAGAGTCGCTTTATTAGCTCCAACTTTACCCCCAATGTCCAGGTTACCTTCTGGCCAGAGAAAAACTTTGACAAACAGCCTTTGACTGCAGAAAATTAAGTCCAAAACATCGTCAACACAAACTGTAACTTGAAGTCCAAACAAGCCAAACTGAAGTAATTAGTTTAGCAAGGCAGGAGCAAGAATTTCAGACTTGAAGGCACGGCAAAACTCACACAGTTGGGAAGATGCCAGGAACACAAATATGCCACAACACAGAATAAAGTCACATTTGCTCCCAGCAGCCTGCCGCTCGCAGCCTGCCTTTCTTATCAACTGTCTTCCCAGCTGTGGTTTATGAAGGGAATCAGGGCCCTTTCCTCCCACGTAAGCCACACAACCCACATTGCTCTCTGTTCTTCCCTGCGTGCCCTAGGATGAAGAGGGGGTGGGCTTGGGTCTTCCTCCGAACTCCCTCTCCCTTGTTCTACCACTCCCCTGCTCTGCCCAGCCAGACTTTGCCCTTCCCCAGCCTCCTCCACAGCCAACAGAGCCACACTCCCGCTCCCTGTCAGCTGTCTGGCTTCCTCCTCGGATTCAGACTCCAACAGGGACAGGACAGGCCCTTTGAATCCAAGGAAGTAGCCTATCCCATTGGACAGGTGCTACAACAGGGAAGGTGCATCTCCTAGATCCCACCAGGTCGTAGTTTAATAGAGGAACCTTGGGCGTTTGCACTAGGTGGGGAAACCATTTGTGTACTGCAATGGCTACTGTCCAGGGACAGGGGACAATAGAAGTTCAGTAGCTGTTCTCCAGTCTGGATCCCCTTTCACAGGAAGCAGACTTATATCAGACTCAGCCCAACAAGACCAGTGGGATTCACTGGTCACTGATCCTATTGCATGGGGAAACCAGAGTTGAGCCCAGGACTTTGAAGACACACAGCAAAACCCATAATTCTGGGCTGCAGTGCCTTTCTGTCCTCAGGATCCAAGGATGATATAAACAGGACACCATCAGAAACCTTTAACTGTCCAACTTGGCCTTGCGTAACTGAATAGCTGTCCTACACGGAAACCTTATTCTCGTAGCCACCTAACTGTAAAATTGCTTTGGCACCTTCACAGTTGTACCAACATCCTGAATCTGTATTCTTCATTCTCCTGGTTGTTGTTATTTTTTTTTAAAGAAGCATGAAATTAGCCTTCAGAGGAAAACCCCAAAGAGCATCCAGCCTTACTGGGTTTCTCTTGAACCAACCCCTGACCAAGATAGCCAGTGGCTTTGGCCCAATCTTGTGAACTTCAGCACACCCTTGGTTAAACAATGCAGCTTTTGCACCCGAGGTCCCCTTTTAATACTGCTTTTAGGAGCCTGATACGGAGGAGGAGGAGGAGGAGGAGGAGGAGGAGGAGGAGGAGGAGGAGGAGAAGGAGAAGAAGAAGAAGAAGAAGAAGAAGGAAGAAGAAGAAAGAAGAAAGAAGAAAGAAGAAGAAGAAGAAGAAGAAGAAGAAGAAGAAGAAGAAGAAGA